CTGAGACCTCACTGAAGAAACAAACAGTGAGAACAAGTCTGCATGCTTGTTATTGAAACTGCATGCTTTACATATTTGGTTTAAAGGTCAGTTTTAATGACTGAGCAACTGAAGTCATACCAAACATTTGATAAAGACTTTAGACCTTTGGGTTTGAGGTGTAGATCTGAGCAGATGTCGATACATTTGGCATCTTTTAGTTGTGCTGTTCAGGAATCATCGGTTCAGTCCCATTTTAAAAACTGGGCTGGTTAGCTTTGCATGTGATTTGTAGTTTCTTTGAAACAACCTTTTTCATGAGCGCTGGATCTTAGTTGTTTTGGCAGGGATAAACAATCTCTGTGAGACCGATTATGAAAGATCACTGATGTCAGGTTTAGTTTAGGTTAAGCTCACAAGAGTCCGGCTAAAAAGAAGTCCCTCATTGTGAGACAGCCGCTGTGCTGTATGAGCGTCTGAGCGCTGCTGTATGAGCGTCTGAGCGCTGCTGTATGAGCGTCTGAGCGCTGCTGCAGTCACTATTCAAGCTCCTCTTGAATACTGGAAAGATACATATATCAAACTATATCAACTATCAATAGCACATAGATCATGGGCCACATGTATGAACACATGACAGGACTGCTTCATCATCCATCCCAAAGAAAACACCATAAGAAACTATGAAAGATGCACTTCTCAAGTTTGGTAAAGCAAACAGCTGTAACATGTTTGTAAAACAGATGAATCCCCAGTTCTCAAGTAACTGTATCTATACAGTATGTAATAGTTATAGATCATCTTCCCTGGTGATCAAAGTATTCTGTAATGGACTAATCACCTTACATTTGGCAATTAACAAAAATAAGAACAAAATAAAGGACAGTCACAAAGGACCTAAAGAATGATGTTGTTTGAGACAACTGTGCAGGGCAACTATGGCATGATGTGGATTAGAATACGTTCCTACTCAGACACAATGTGTTGACTGGTTTCTGTTTATTTATTGCTTTATTTTGTGTGCCTGTTTTTGTATGTCTGTTTGTCTTCTGTGTGGAATGTTGTTGGCTGTTAAGCAGTATTTACATTGTTACTGTTTTTCTATAGATTTGTTTAGCTACTTCTGATAAATGCTCTGATAGGATAACTGTATGCTGTTGAAAAACCCCAATAAACAAAGTTAAAAAAAGAAAGAGTCTTAATCAATCTGAACACTAACTCCATTAATGAGTGTGGACAGCTTCAAGTATTCCAAATACAAAGTGAAAACGTCTCCTCTCACAGCTCCTCGGAACTCTGTGCAAAGGAAATAATGCTTCGGTACAAATTGTATCTAATTAAAGTAATGTAGGGAAGAGAAAAGGCCGGAGTGATAAGTTGTTTAATGTTAAAGGTTTTTAACAGTGCAGCAGAAACAGCCCAACAGACAGAGAGATTACCCGTGTGCTTTCTAAGTAACAAACCAATTGAAGTGTTTGCTTTGACTGGTGTGATAGTAAACTGATTAGAGCGCGATAAAAGCCCTTATTAAGAATCAAACGCAACACGCTGCTGCCATGTGTGGGTCCATGCCAAGGCAGAATCAATATCAACAAAAGGCGCAAGTACACAAACACAAAATGCATGCCTGTCCTTTCAGCTGCACACTTAATCCCTCAGTCGATATGAATAGCACTGCACATTCAGAGTTTACCAGGCCCCAGCAGAAAGACATCTGTGGAAGCTCAATCGATACAGTGACTGAAGTGGAATTCAGCAAGTAGCCCCCCCACCCCCCCACTGGGCTTCGCTAAGAGCAATACTGCTGCTCAAGTATACTCAAGTCCAGCCAGAGGAGAATTCTCACAGGAGCTCAAGAAAGCTGGTCTTGTTTAAGTGCACAACATTTGAAAAAGAAGAAAGCTTTTAGTGTTTTCAGGAGGGGGGGCTATAAGAGCAGAGAGGTATGTGGTTACAGTCATGGGTGTTACATTGTTAGAAAAAGGGGACACTTTATTCAGATTTAAAAAAAGAACACTACCACATTAAGCAGACAATACATACATATATACATACATCGTAATGATGACAATACTTTGACATCTAGGGCAGTAACTACGCTGCTGCAAAGCGGAGCAACAATAGCTTTACTACTCTCTATTCAATTATTACTGATATTAACCGTGTCGCAGGTCCAAACTGCACCACCAGAAAGTGAGAACAGTCCTCCAGATTGTACATGTTCTCTTGTGCAAATAAAGCTCTCTCAAAGAGTACAATTCTTTGAGAACTATTTTCAGAACATTTCTAACAAATGATCCTAACGCACGCACGGTGGTGGGGACAAAATTGGCCATTTCCAAAAGTGGTGGACGCTGGGGACATGTCCCCAGCGTCCCCAGTATAAAGGACTCCTATGGTCACATTGCAGTGGGGGTGTTACTGGAGATGTTCCACTCCGGCCAGGCTTCCTTAAGGCCAGTGCTGCTTCCTCTCAGTGTACAACATGAAGCCTTCCATCTAATACAAGACAACATGACAACAGCAAGGCTCTGTGATGGAAAAGACAAAGAGCTGGCAGCCCGGACTCCTAAGTGGAGGTGACATCCCATAATCAAAGGAGAGACTCCGGACCCTGCGCAGGGTCAGGGGGGGGGGGGTAGCTCCAACAGCGCCACCAGGCACAGCGCTCAGCAGCCACTCTCATATGTGACATCTGAATTCAGAAACTGAGAGAAAATTAAATATTGTAACTCTCCAACAATACAATTCAACAATCATTTGCAATTTAAATTGCATCGGCAGTTGATACAAATCTGTGATCTTTCCGAGATCGAGATCCAAACAAATGCAAGAGACTGGAAGTGTGAAATAACAGGCTGCAAAAACACAGCACGCCAAAATATTTTCCCTCTCCCATTCTTTCGCTCCCCTCCACTTGCCCTGCTACACCCGCTGCATATCACTGAATGAAATGCAGCGTGCAATTACCCATTATCCAATCAACTGGAGTCGACACTTAACCATTTGCACGGCTTTGGCCTCAGCCAATTATCTGTCAGGGCTCTCAGTGGGCCCTCAATAACTGCATAATGGTCCGGCTCCAGATCTATGCCACGCCACAGAGATGGCCGGCTGAGGGTCAGTGGGGCTGTCAGGGGCTGGCAGGATGACACGGGGTTCGGACACTGACTGGGCTCCGGCACCCCTGGGGCTCCGGCCATTACAATACATAATGTAGGGCTAGTCATTTGGAAGGGCTCCAGATCGTGCTCTTCAAAACCATTTTAGATAGTTCACATATTCATCGTCCCCCCCTCTCACCCTCCCACCAACCCATCCTGTCACCCGTGATTGGACACACAGCCCTGATTCCCCCCCCCCCCCCCCTCCTTGAATCCTGGCCTTGACCTCAAAGCACTTGCTCCCCGTCCTGCCCCTTCATTAAACCAGCACCCCACACAGCCCCACCAGTCCAGGCAGTGGGGGCCGCTGGCTGGTTGGCCCCTGAGGGCCTGCAGCACTGGGCCCAGCTGAGGAGCCGGGCAGCTGCCAACCACCGACCACTTCAACCACGAGCGTCCGGATGACTGCGTTTGTCAAGCCGCCACTCCGCGTCAGCAGCGCAGGTCTGATCACCCACAATTAGGGGTTAAAGAGGGAGAAAGGGGATGGGGTGTAGAGAAAGGTAAATGTGAGGGGCTGAGGGGTCTTCATCCACCATGCAGTAAAGAAGTAGGTGCTTTTTTGTGAGAAATATGTGTTGTGTCCATCTCTGTGCTGAACATCCACACACAACTTTAATATAATCTGCATACAATGTGTTGTTGTTGTTGTTGTTGTTGTTGTGACCCCCTGTGACATCATGGAAGCAGTCACACTGACAACAAAATCCACCAGTGATGGTGATCTTAAGATCAATTGATTTTGTTAAGACATTCATTTGTATTATATCTTTTTAATTTTCATTATGATAATTTATTTAACTATAAAAATACATTGAGATAAAAAAGGTAATGTCAACAAAGTATGCCACAAGCCCTCAATGCATACTGTAACTGTTTTATGTGTTCATTACAATAACGTCTTAAATTGTTTTACAAAAATCATAATTGGAAACAAAGTCTGACTCTGAAACAGTGGAATGATCATATATGTCATCCAGAAGCACAACTCTGAGCAAAACCAGCTTTCATAGAATATCCCTTCACTCATTAAAATAATGAAACAAAACTGCAGAATAACAAGCTAGTTGAGAACTAATACTTTTCCACATTCATTTTTTATAAATAATTGTTTGCAGAACTCAGATTTTAGATTTGTTCAGTGATTTAAATACACTGAGTATTACAGTTTAGTTTGTCCAAACATATGGATGAATTAACATTAACGCTGACCCTACTGCCTCCTTAACCTCCAAATACATTCAGCAAGTGTAATAGTTGACTAATATCAAAATGTATATCTTTACTCATTTTAAAATGTTAACACAACTATAAGATTATTTCAGTGATGGCAAACACAAACTTTAACTAATATGATACTGCCAGTCTTAATGAAAAAAGGTAGATTGAGATCTATGAATATGAAGATCATTCATGAAGACTGTGTGGACAGTTCCTCAACAAAAGGTCCAGCTGCCTCTTTTTATCTATGGCGCTGGGTCCCTCTAGTGGGCTGGAAACAACACTGCAATCACAAAAATGAACTCATTGGAGAGCGGTATCATCTTACTGTCAGGACACACAGTCTGCTGTCACAGCCCCCCCAAATGGTGTCACATAATGCTGGTTTTATAAAAGAACCATGTTGTAAACGTTTACAATTTATAGAAACACTCTTTCTTCTTGATAAGTTGGTGTAAACAATGTTTAAAGGTTTAAAGGGAGTCAATTTCCATTCCTGAGAACATTCCGGCTTATTTTTCCTGTCCTGTTGGGAGGGTGCTCATGAAGGAATCAACAAGTCTGTGATCTGTGAATCATGTGACCATTGAAGATAGATACCTTCCAGGCAGAGGCGCCCCCCCCACCACCACCTACCTCTCTCTCTACGAGCAGTCCTGTGTTTGGAGTGGGGGGGCAGGCCTTGGTCTGTAGCTGTGCTGGCTCTCTGTTTGGCTCTCCTTGGTAAATGTCCTGGACCAGGAGCAGGGAGCGGGCCTTTACCCAGCAGGAATTGCTCCCAGGCTGGGAGAGACCCCTCCACAGACGCCCAGTACCGCATCTAGAACAGAGAAACAATAAAAACCTGACTGGCAGGGCCCAACACTGCAGATGGAGCTGTATTTTGAAAATAAGTTTTCCAAACCCTGCCACTCATGAGGTTCATCTCAATATTCCTCCTCGATTCCTCTCTGCCCCTCCTCCGGGACTTGACCCGGAAATCGATCAAGACACCCCATGTTTAAGGACGTCCCAATCTCTGAAATGCACACGGAGGAGTCGAGGAGGGGGGAGGGAGGAGGCTTCCAGAAAAGACGAAAGGGAGGATACCAAGCCCCCAGGAAGTGCGCCGGACTCTGAGGAAAATATTCGTTGTGGCCAAACGGCGGTACTACACTTCCGTTAGGTTGCTGGGCCCGGAAACACTTTTTCCCATTGACTTACATGGGGAAAGAGTGGTCTGTAAATCGTTGGATACTTTTTTTTTAATTAAATAAACTACCCAGTATGAACGTTTGTATAGCCCTTATTAAAAACATTCGGTCCTCAAGTTCTAAAATATGCTAATAACGTTATTCTGAGAGTTATTTTCCTCTGCATTATGAACGTGCATCTAACCCACGGGACCGCGCCGCCCGGCACGTTCATGTTACGTGTTCAGTACTACATGCGTTTTATATTTACTCATGGATGCACAATAAGAACGGACCATATCGCCTTACTGCCATCCCACGGAGCTGTAATAATGGATATATTGCGCATGTTTGCTGTAATTCATAATTTGTAAAATATTATACTACATGGGCTCTATGATGTAAATCTTGTACCGTAAATGTTGTATTAAATAAAGTTAATACTACCGACGTAAATTAACGTCCCTGTAGCTATTGCACTTGCAATATACCATTAAAAAGGAGTTGAACGTAGCTGTTTGCTATGACTACACTGAACAAAAATATAAATGCAACACTTTTGTTTTTGCTCCCATTTTTCATGAGATGAACTCAAAGATCTAAAACATTTTCTATATACACAAAATAACCAATTCTCTCAAATATTGTTCACAAATCTGAAACAATCTGTGATAGTGAGCACTACTCCTTTGCCGAGATAATCCATCCCACCTCACAGGTGTGGCATATCAAGATGCTGATTAGACAGCATGATTATTGCAGGTGTGCCTTAGGCTGGCCACAATAAAAGGCCACTCTGAAACGTGCAGTTTTGCTTTATTGGGGGGGTCTGGGGGGTCCGAAAACCAGTCAGTATCTGGTGTGACCACCATTTGCCTCACGCAGTGCAACACATCTCCTTCGCATAGAGTTGATCAGGTTGTTGATTGTGGCCTGTGGAATGTTGGTTCACTCCTCTTCAATGGCTGTGCCAAGTTGCTGGATATTGGCAGGAACTGGAACACGCTGTCGTATACGCCGATCCAGAGCATCCCAAACATGCTCAATGGGTGACATGTCCGGTGAGTATGCTGGCCATGCAAGAACTGGGATGTTTTCAGCCTCCAGGAATTGTGTACAGATCCTTGCAACATGGGGCCGTGCATTATCATGCTGCAACATGAGGTGATGGTCGTGGATGAATGGCACAACAATGGGCCTCAGGATCTCGTCATGGTATCTCTGTGCATTCACAATGCCATCAATAAAATGCACCTGTGTTCGTCGTCCATAACATACGCCTGCCCATACCATAACCCCACCACCACCATGGGCCACTCGATTCACAACATTGACATCAGAAAACCGCTGACCCACACGACGCCACACACACTGTCTGCCATCTGCCCTGAACAGTGAAAACCGGGATTCATCCGTGAAGAGAACACCTCTCCAACGTGCCAGACGCCATCCAATGTGAGCATTTGCCCACTCAAGTCGGTTACGACGACGAACCGGAGTCAGGTCGAGACCCCGATGAGGACGACGAGCATGCAGATGAGCTTCCCTGAGACGGTTTATGACAGTTTGTGCAGAAATTATTTGGTTATGCAAAGCGATTGTTGCAGCAGCTGTCCGAGTGGCTGGTCTCAGACGATCTTGGAGGTGAACATGCTGGATGTGGAGGTCCTGGGCTGGTGTGGTTACACGTGGTCTGCGGTTGTGAGGCCGGTTGGATGTACTGCCAAATTCTCTGAAACGCCTTTGGACACAGCTTATGGTAGAGAAAGGAACATTCAATTCACGGGCAACAGCTCTGGTGGACATTCCTGCTGTCAGCATGCCAATTGCACGCTCCCTCAAAACTTGCGACATCTGTGGCATTGTGCTGTGTGATAAAACTGAACATTTTAGAGTGGCCTTTTATTGTGGCCAGCCTAAGGCACACCTGTGCAATAATCATGCTGTCTAATCAGCATCTTGATATGCCACACCTGTGAGGTGGGATGGATTATCTCGGCAAAGGAGAAGTGCTCACTATCACAGATTTTTTCAGATTTGTGAACAATATTTGAGAGAAATGGTTATTTTGTGTATATAGAAAATGTTTTAGATCTTTGAGTTCATCTCATGAAAAATGGGAGCAAAAACAAAAGTGTTGCATTTATATTTTTGTTCAGTGTATATAATACCACGCAGGGATAAGCCAGAGTGTACAACCTTTGCATGTGGGCACAACACGTTTTGACCCAGTTTGATTATTTCGCTCCAGTGGTTCCCAAAGTGGGGGGCGCAGAGGCATGACAGGGGGGGGCGCGAGAGACCAGGAGGAAAAATGGTTATAAAAAAAATAAAAATTTGAAAAATTATTTATTCGAAAATAATATGATACAATACAGTACTATTACGTCTGGGTCTCTGTGTTTCATTAAAGCTCGGCTCTGTGTGTGTGTGGAACGAGCCATTTTATGTGCGTGCATGAGAGAGAGAGAGGGCACCGGTACCGGAGATCGTTGTTGTTAGCTTCTGGTACTAGCGAGCTACGCTAACGGATATAAGGAGGAGAGTCCTCTCCTGTCAGACTGAGATGCTCAGTGAGCTAAAGGACTCTCCCAGTGTTATCTCAGTGGGTCTCAAACGTTTTGGTCACCATTAACCTGTTAAGCCTGAGAGACCCCGGTACCGGGGCCCTCCTGCAACATCTTGCAGGAAACAGTGTCTGAGGGCATGTTCATTTAATAAACTATTAATGTTTTATATCCATGTAACGGGAAGAAACTCATCTAACTGATCATTTTCATTTTTTTTTCAAAAAACCCCCCACAATGAATTAGCAACGAGCGAAAAATGCTAACAGATGATCACCGAAATTCACTCACAAAACCTTATGATTTATCTTTGGTGCACATCCAACCCATCATTTCACATCGTGAGGTGACACAGAATCGATGGGTACCCTCATTATGACTGAATCATACGAACTCTCGGAGATAATAACAAGAACAGACATCAAAACATATGGCGCTAGGTAGCTAAAAACGCTAACATGGCTCACCTGTGTCGTAGTCTGGTCAAAAGTGGTCTTCAATGGCATTAAAACGATAAAAACAATGCTGAAGTTAATTCATAGGTTAATCCAATGTGTCTGTGTCCCTTTGACATGATTTCTGATAATCCATAAGCAATAAACCTGCTTTTCGGTTTTCAGATGTCAGAGCGAGAGATAGGTTCACTCTGGTGCAAAACTGTGCGCGTGAAGCCCCCACATTTTTGTTTTACCATGTGTGTGAGTGGGGAGATTCCCCATTCGATTCTATTGTCTCTAACGGTTAAAAAGAGATGTCAATCAGCAAAATCTACCAATGGGTTCCAGAGAAACGGTAAAACCCCCATTTCCACCCAAATCACCTCAGAGGTGGAGTTGTTTTTGCTAAACCTCTCTAAAAAGGTCAAATGTCACTTGTTTTGCATCAATCTTGATACAGGGTACTTATTATATGTTGTACTTTGGATTCCTATAGCTTTTAGTCTACCTTACAAGGGTAGTTTTCACTATAAGTAAAAAAAATCTTTTGGACGGACACTATAATTTACAGTTTTTTACTATGTTCAATCTAAATTTTCTTTAAAATAAAAAACACCTATATTGATTCTGACTTTTCTACATCCAACTCACAGGTTTATCATTACTTTGAGAACAAATATTATTAATTTAACCCTTTTAGAAATGAAGATATAGTCATTTGTTCTGGGAATGTAATTTTCGAGCCTGAGACCTGAAAAACCAACACATCCTCACTCCCAGGTCGGCCTATGTTGACGTTATGTCAAGTCCCCTGTCGGCTTTTTCCAACGCAAGGGGGGGGGGCCTTAGCGTCCATTTTCAACGCAAGGGGGGGGGCCCTTAGCGTCCATTTTCAGCTTTCCGGGATGTCCATATGCTTCTATGGACGCTCATGGAAGCACGGCGTTCGTTTGTGTCGACTGCCCTTAAAGGCAATGTGAGCGTCCATTCTCATTGGATAACGGATAATTGTACACCCGGAAGTAAGTATTCCCCTTACTGTCGATTGATTTTACAGTGATATCTGCACTACTCATCGACTAAAAAACACCAGATTATCCTTGTTAATTACACAACATTGATTGGTTTAAATTGTGTGCAATGCTTTTGTATTTTTCCCCTTCGATTCGGAGAAACAAATGTTTTTTCGGAGTAAAGGATGGCAGAAGACACTACATTACCCAGAATCCCCAGCTATCGTTTGGACTACACCATGTGCTCTGTTTGACAAACCCCGTGATAGTCCTCAAGCTCTGTGATTGGAGAGTGTGCTCCGAGGGTTACCCGAGCCTCGAACAGCACTTGAAATGGGATGGAACCATGCATGGCAGACTGTCCAAAACTGGATTTGAACGGGTCCACCGCGTCCCCCCTCCCCCACCCTGTCCCCAGAACTACAAATGCTGGCTATTCTGTTTCGCAACATGTTCTGTATCTATGGCACGTCTCTACTGGGAGTTGTAGTTTTAAAAGACGTTTTCGTATATCCCATAAGAAGTTGCCAGTATTAAACTGTGTACATCCCTGGAGGTTTAGGGGATAGGAAACACTCACATTTAAAACATATAATTAATAAATGGGTGAAAATTGCTTGTGCCCATAATGGGCAGCATTAATATATATATACACACATGCCAGCTAAGGTCAGAAGAGCTTTATTTAACAGCTGGTCTTATGTTTGTGACCCCTGTTGTTAATTGATAACATTACATTAATTGATAAGCCTGAAACATGCACTTGTTAAGGTTCAGAGGCACATTTTGCAAATATGGCAGTATAGCCATCGATCAGCTTAAGATAAGATATACTTTATTGATCTCATGTTGGA